CCTTGTCTCTGCTTTCAGGAATCCAGTTTCCCTTGTAAGCTCTGGATGAGCTTAACCTGCTGAGCTTGCCCTCTGAGCCAAACCTGAAGACTCTTCTCTGGATTCCCATGCTGCTCTGGACTAAGAGCTGGAAACCCAAAGCCAAGGTCTGCCCTCAAGTTAGAAGTAAGATGCTGAAGCGATTATTGGACTCTGCTGAACTAAACAGTCTCTGGACCCAACAGTTCCTCTCTCAAAGCCAAACCCGGACACCTCAAGGTATCAATCAGAAACTCTAACTCAAACTCATCTGCTCCCAAGCTAACTGAACTATCATCCTCACAGACTCCAGTGAACCTGCCCCCAGGCCTGAACCAGTTCCAGTGTTTATTCCATGTGCTTGTGCTCAATAAACTTTGTTAAACTTTTCATCTGTTTCCGTGGTGTTCTGCATACTGGGCTTTTCTGAAACCCATCATGACAGGCGGCCCCATCCAGGAAATACACAGCCAGGCAGATGAGCCCTGGGCAGGCCCACACGTCTGAGGATGAAGAGAGCACATCAAGCCAGTCACAGTTAGAGAAACAGGGCTACACTCAAAAACAGGCAGAGCTCTAACATCTATAAACAAACGTGTCACGGCCAAACAGGAACAGACCAGATGGAGCTACTTTTAGGAAAAGCAGAGAGAACATTTAAGATTTAAGTAACAGATTCTGCAGGGTGGGAGAAGGGAGATAGAACAAAGCAGAATGATGAAAAAGAAGTCCCTATGTCCTCCAGCAGTCTAAGCCTATAACAGCATAACTATAGAGATAGCTCAGGATAACCTGAGCCACTCTAACTATAACCTTTATCAAAACCTTTAAAGCAAAAAAATAAAGGGTTCTCCTTTTCAGAAACCCAAATCTGGTCACCCTATTTAAGGCTTTATTTGTGAGAAAAGGAGGATTTTGAATTGTATTCTGGATTTAACAGGGAGCCAATGAAGAGAAGCTAAGATAGTGGAGTTATTATCTCTCTTTTTAATATTCATCTGAACTCTGGCTGCAGCATTTTGGATCACCTTTTAATGACAGTTTCTGGACTTCCTGATAGTAAAGAATTACAATAGTCCAGCCTAGAAGTAAGAAAAAAATGTTGGATGTTTGAGATGTACAAGTTCAATGAAAAAAGGGGAGGTGAGGGGGATTGTAGTGATCTGCTGGAATAATGGAGCACAACATTTTAAAATGAACACATCAAACAGCGAGTTAGAAACAATGTTACAGTGAGAAATTATAGATGAACTGATGAATCTTATGAGGCCATCTAGTGGTGAGCTAGTGAACAGTAGATTAATTAGTCTGCTGTTAAGCAGAGATTGGCTCAAGTCCAATCTAGAGCTACCATCCTGCAATTTTTGATGCATCCAATGTTTAGTGGCTCGTTACCATGCCTCTGCTGAACTAAATGAGGGGATGAGCCTTCAGATTCAGGTATGTTAGAGAAGAGATGCATCAAACAGTTACAGGATGGTAGCTCTTATAGACTGGACTTGAGCAGTGTTGATCTAGAGCAGAGGTGTCAAACTGGTTCCAGAAAGGGCCATGTGGCTGCAGGGTTTCTTTCCAACCAAGCAATAGCACACTAGACTCTAGTCATTTCATCAAAATGAGATCAACTGAGTCCAAAATCCCGGATGATTTTGAAATTCCCATCGGACATTATTTTTAGGTATGAAAAGTAGGACATGTCAGGGAAAAAGAGGACGTCGGTCACCCTACCATATCAACAATCTGATGTTTCAGTGAGTGAGTGCTTGTTGCTATGATGCGTCTTTACTCAGCAGATTCGCTCGCTGTAAACCAACCAATCAGTGCAGAGCTCATCTAAATATTCATGATCATACCATAAAAGGAAGAAAACCTGTCGTTCCATTCTAGGGCTTTTAACCAGGCTTGCATTAGGGCTCATAGAACAGCATATATGCCATTTTCAGCCCAACCAATGTTACATACCCTATTCAGAGACCTAAAGGACCAGCACATAATACCCTATAAAATCATTCTATTACCCCTTTAAATAAGCTCAATGAGTTCAATAAGTTGATAAAGAAGTTATTTTCTAGTAACTCCTTTAGAACTTCTGTGATGATTTTACAGAATATAGTGATATAAGAATATTATGGAAATTGTCCAGTTGTTCTATAAAACACTCCTAATGATGATTCCATTTCAGTGGCTCTGCTCAGTCTAAGCTTTAACAGACCTTCATTTTTTTTTTGCAATTAATGTTTAAAACTAATTCCAGACAATGATAAACATTTATCTTTAAGCTAAATACCTCTGAATTTTACTAGGGTTTTGAAAAATATAGACATTTTTCGACATTTTTTTTTTTTAATTAAGAATTTTCACCAAGAGTCTTTTTCTGTGTTGGAGCTGCACAGCGGTGCAGTTCGTAGCAGTGTTGCCTTGCAGAAAGACCGTCTCAGGTGGTCTCAGGTTCTCCATGTAGGACAGTTACAGTATATTTCACTGCTGTCATACACCAGGAAGACGACTTCTGACCAGACTGGACAATCCTCCCTGAAAAAGACAAAACAAGTCTAAATTTGATTATAAATGGAGGGTAAAATTGAATCCAAAGAGGTTTATGTGGGTAATGTGGAATCCTTTCATGGTTTGGGGTCAGACATTGGTTATTTTCACACCAGAGATGTTTAGATGTTTTCTTTTTAATGACCTCTGGTCAGTTTCCTCATTGATGTGCTTTGTATGGATGTGAACTCAGTGATAAATACACTAGAGCGTAGACCAGAAGAACTGCATCTAGACCTCCTGATCTGATCTCCGTTAGACACAACTACCTGGTCTACCCTGCAAGCTTGAGTGAAACTCCTTCCCAGATGTGTGTTGCATTGTGAGAAATGGAGTAAAACGTTAGAAGCCAAAATTAAATGGAGTGCTCAGCTGGATGAACAATGAGGTCCATTTCATCACTGATTTTTGGGGCTGATTATTATATTTCTCATCTCCTAAATATGACTCAGAACAGTAAAAATGTTCAAATATTTCAGCAAGCAGCTTATTAATCTACTGCTCAGATAATTTCACCTAAAATGAAAGCCCGAAACTCGCTAACAATATTATTGGGGTCTCTGTGTTTTCTAACATTTGGTTCTGCTTCTCAGGAAACATCTGAGCCATGAAGAGGAGTAAAGCTTTAGTGGGTTTTCAGTGAGAAATTCCTGTTTGCTTGGAAATTTCTCTGTTTCAAAGTAATCTAAACCAAATAGAGCAAAGTAACAAGTAAAACTCAACTTCTGGATTAAACTAAAGAAACTAGAGGTATGAAAAACTCCTCTCATTGTGTAACATGTTTCACTTTGGGGCTCAGCCACTAAATTAAACGTTTTATAATCTTTATGTTTTTATTATCTCTTATCTGGACAAATCAATAATTGATCAGTATTGATAAAAACCTTCCTTGGTCACCTCACACCACTGTTTAAAAGCACCTTAATCCTTCATCCTAACCCTTTTGTTTATTTACTGGATTTAACTCTTTGAACTATTTAAAGCTGCAGCTACAATATGGAGGCTGTCTTGGTACAAAATAGCTTCTGCAACTTCCAGCATCAGCTGTCTTGTCAAGTGAAGATGAGGTTTGTTTACACAGATAATTTCATAAATAACAATAATACCGGAGCTGGTGTGAGCCATCAGAATTGACAAAGAATCTGGGACAGGAGTCAAAACATCATTAAAAACTGAGCGAAGGTTCAGTTGCCTCCATTTTAAACCTGTTTAGTGACCATGATCATGATGACAGAATTTAAAGGCAGAGATCAGAGTTACGTTTCGTTTAGGATACAGGCCTGCTGTCGTCATGTTTGTTAGGTTTCAGTTATTGGTTTTCATTTTGGCATCTTGTTCAAACTGTATTTGAGAGACAGTTTAAGATTTTAAATGAGTTTGAATGTAATGTAAGCTTTTCATTGAAAGGTAATTTGGAATGAAACATCTGGTTACTTTAGTAAATTAATCCTTACATCATGGAAAACTTGGTGTGAATATGGGTGCAACTAGGTGGAAATAAATGCTTTTAGAAGGCTTAAAATTATTTCAATATGTTAGTTGGTTAAATTAATTTAATTTGAATAATCATCAGAGAAAATAAATCATTAAAATGCTTGACATTTTTTTATTTTTGCAAATTTTATTAAATGCGTAGTTGTAAGCCATACAAAGAGCATCCCAGTGGTGCCCAACAAAGTTTTAGTTCAGGAGCTCCACCAGGGTTGTTTACTGCTTTTATTTATCAATATATACATGTATGTATGTATGTAAATGCATAAATTCTAAATTAATGTTATGACTTCCCTTTTTATTATTTTTATCTAGTATTACGTTTGTCAATTTCCATTTATTTTACTGGCAGCTGATTGTTTTCTCTCTTTAATGGAAGGGTGTGTAAAATTTCGAGCACAACTGTCTGTAGAAGCTTATGTTGGTCTATAGCCCAAAGATGTAATCTTTTAAAAACATATGAGAAAACAATGGGAGCTAATTATTTTTATTAAATTCTTATTATTATTTTTATTACCGGTATTATTATTCTTTAATATAACCGTCAAGACTTAAAAACTACTCTCACCCCTGATGAGGACATAGGTTACCTCCTTTCCAGGTGACATAAATATCATTCGGATTAATTTTACAATAGATTTATTACTTATTTCTTTTTTCTTACCATATTTGTTTTTATGAATATTGTCCATTTTCTACCAATAAAAAGCTTCTGCATTTATCAAAAAATATATTTATGCAACAGCCATAGTTGACATTTAGAAATAAAACCAGCTAACAAATGATAGTATTAAAAAGCTCATTCTTTAATCGTGTCTATATACTAAATATATCATCTAAATAACCAAAAGATTCTGTTTAATGTTTTCTAATATCTGGAGTAATGTTTATCTGTCGGAAGATAGATAATGTTGACTAAACTGAGCTTAAGTAATAATGACTTTAGATCAATACTTGCCGCGTGTTTGTCTTGTTGCGTTTTCCTTCCTGATCATCATCCAGACGACCAGAGTAAAGATCAGAATAAAGCTGCTGAAGACCAGTGGAGCCCAGTCTACATAAAACCACATAAAACATTGTTGTCTAATAAGAACAGTTTTTTGGATAAATTAGTTATTTTCTTCACAGTTAGTTGAAGCTTACATTGACTTTGATGATCAGAACTTTCTGCCTCATTGAACCAACAGAATGTCGTCAGGTTAACATGTAGAGTCTTCTTTCCTACAGGGTTGGCTGCTACACATCTATAAGACGAGTCTCTGTCATTTCTGTAGACAGTGATGGGTAAAGAGACAGCAGAACTGCTCTGGTTCAGTATCTCCTCATCTTTGTACCACAGCAGAGACGTCAGATTGTCCACAGAACAGATCAACCAGCAGATCTCAGAGCTCACAGTCAGAATTTCTACTGCAGGAGTCGGAGGAGCATCTGCAATAAATACATGGAGATCAGGAATCAATCATAAGAATAAGGAATTTTTTATGTGCACGTGTAACAGTTAAAAATGCACTTCATTAATTATTGTTTTTAAATGATGTTATATGAAGCTTTTGTGATCTTATTTAGCAATGTTATTTTGCATTATTTAATTGATTTTCCCTGTGAGAATTTCCTCTCTGTACTCTGTCTCTTTTTGTCCCTCCAGGGCTCCTGTAGGTCTTTCTGGCCCTCATACCTTCTCCCTTCCACTTCCCTTCACAATGCTGTTGTGCACTGCTGCGGGTAAAGTCGTGGTAAAATTTACTGATAAAGTTATGTATCTTATGTGAAAGTAGCCATATATGCTGAAGTCTGTAGTAAATATTATTTACTTTTATTTAATCTTATGTTGTGAGGGGTGCTGCAATGAGGTACAGTGGTTAGATCTACAGTACTGCCATGCAGCCAGAGGGTTCTGGGTTTGATTCCTGTTCTCCCCATGCATGTGTGGGTTCTCTCTGGGTACTCCAGCTTCCTCCCACAGTATAAAAACATAACTGTTAGGTTAACTGGCTTCTCTAAATTGTCCTGTTTTGTCTCTGTGTTGCCTTGTGACAGACTGGCGACCTGTCCAGGCTGTACCCAGCCTCTCGCTCGTAGACTGCCATGACCCTGACAAGGACTAAGTGGAAGAAAATGGAAGGATGGATGTGGTGAAGCTGTTTTGACCTTTATTATGAGATTCACTTAGTTTTTGTTGTCATAGGCTGTTTCCCAATCTAACCTCTCATCACTATATAGAGCGGGGACTATATGTGAGCTCAGTTAACTCTGTTCGGACGCGAGTCACTTGGAGTCACCTGACTCCAGCTCCCCACAGTGCCTGCACCATCTTTGTTCTCTCTCACACCCTAAACAGATAGCATAATCCTTTGTGAGGATAGGTCTCTCAAAGCATTCTGAGATATATCTGCTTGTCTAGTGACCATGGTTGCATGCTACCTTTAAAAGTGCATCGTGAGAAAATTTGAGTACACTGCTTTTCATTATCTAGACGTTTAGACACTAAAAAAATGGTGTAACCCATCGGCGTCGCCAGACCCCATTTACTGGGGCACGTGCCCCAGTATAAATGAGCTGTGCCCCAGTATAAATCTCATGAATATTTGCAACAGTGATACATTTTTTTAATGCATCAATTTAGATAATTCCAACGGGAGGAGACGTATATTTCTACTCAAATGCGTACAGTAGCAAGTGTGTTGTTAACTCCAAATTGAGGATGAATTAGCGCCCTCACGTCAGCGCATGTCTCTGCATGAACTGCAGGTAAACTAACGTGCTGCTCTCAACTGAGTTGGATGGGACACTGTGCGGCCTCGACGCATGTTTAGTTCTGGTAACGTTTCTTACCTGTCAATTTTATTATTTTCCCAGTGAAACCACATGCTTTATAGGCTACTAACTAAAAATTACTGGATTGGTTTGTAGATGGATATCAGGAAATTCCGCACACGAAGCAGAGACAGGGAAGCAGTAAAACAAGATGAGAGAGGGAGGTAAGGTCCCGTAATGAATTAGTGATTTAATGTAACCAGTTACATTAGGAATGTTATAAGCAATATGATAGATATTTACATAATTATAGATTTACGTTTTTTAATGTTTGCTGTAGAGAATGAGAATGAAGGTGCTGGAGTAGGAAAGGGAGGAGGAGGCGAGACTGACAGGCAAGAGACAGGTGAAGGACAGGAGAGACAGGACCATGAAGGTGATGAGGGAGCAACAACCAGCTTCCACAAACAAGAAGGGGACATTAGTGACTTAGGGGGAAACATGATGGTCCTAAACAAGTGAAGTTATCCCACTATCCCCAGGACAAATTTGGAGTTAAAAAAACTTTCATTTAATTCAAAATGGTTTGAAAGCTTTTTATGGTTGAAAAATAAAGCTTTGTCATCAAGGATATGCAGTGTGTTTTCAACTTGCTTGATAACATCATGTTCCCCACACTAACGCAGGTCATCCAGATCTCCCTCACTATCCCAGTCTACAGCTGGAGGGGTGAAAGGTCATTCAGTGTGTTGAGAAGGCTCCACACTTGGCTGAGGTGCACAATGGGACAAGACAGGCTCCATCATCTTGCTATTTTATCAGTTGAAAAGGAAGAACTTTCTAAGCTGAGTCACAGTCTAGTGATTGACCGCTTTGCAAAAATTAAAAATAGGAGGTACACTTTAATGCTCAAAAAATAAAAGAAAAACTTAGTTCATGTTGAGTTAACATTTCCCCTGAACTAAAACTCTGAAACCTAGAAATTAATGATTACTTCAGAATGTGTAACTTTTTATTTTTAAAGTTGGTGATGTCTTATTTTTTATAGCTGCAATGTTGAAAATGTTCATGTTTGTTGAAACAAATATGCTCTTACACTCATTATTATCTCAACTGGTAATTTTGGTAGGAATGTATCAGAGTGGGGCAGTGTGCTTGTCTGTATTTGTGTATGGCAGGAGGGGCATATGCGGTAGGGGGCCAGTGCCCCAGTAAAGCTTTGTGCCTAGCAACGCCCCTGGTGTAACCACAATACAGTGGTCTGTATAGGGGTTTGGGTGGATGTTCAGCCAGAGCCTTTGTATCTGTCGGCCGCACTCTGCTATCTAATATGTACTAACGCCAGACAGCTTGTTTAAAAAAAGTGACCAGAGGGGAATTTATGGTTTTTTAAATCTTTTCTGCAGGCATGTTTTAGTTTCTTTTTTTTTTCTTCTGGCAAATATTCCAGAATCCTGAAAAGTAAACATAAGTAGAATCTTATATTCAAGGCTAAAAATGAAATTAAGTCTAATTTATGGTCTGATTATACTGAGATGTTGTCACTCACCATAAACTGTTAGATTGTAGGAAGTATAGAAAACTCTTCCTTTTTTAGAGTCAATGGTATAAATTCCTGAGTCGCTCCTCTGCATGTCTGTGATCATAAAGAGTCCAGAGTTTTTGCTCCAGTGAAGTTTGTTCATGTAAATCTCCTCAAAAGTCTGAAGTTTTCCATCATTTATTGAAGCAATGATTTGTCTTCCTTTTGAAAGAAATCCAAACTCCAGCAGAGGATCTGGGAAAGTGAGGTTTCCACCAATTATTCCAATCAGGTTCTTCTTTACTTCTTCAGCTGCAGATAATCTCATCATCACTGTAAACACCAACAGATACAGACTGATTAACACTAAATTCACTAGAACAACCACTGACACAGATAGATCTAAATAAAAACAGGTTTTAACGAGATGTATTAATTAGAAAAAGTTTAACCATAGTGCTGTATCCATGTTGTTTATTACAGGTTCACTTTAAAGCTTTAACCAAAGGAAAACTGATCTGTTTTTATCAGAACTAACATATCTGAGGACATTGGCTACCACTGCTGTATAAAATAAATTAAACATCAGACATTTATCTAACAGCAACTGTTACATTATTGCTACTGTAGATCTAGAACATTAAACAGAAACAGTTTTTTACTCACAGATAGAAAAGAAAAACATCCTTAATGGGCTCTCCATAACAGACTGAAACATTATGTTATTCCTCTGCTACAGAGCTCAGTTTGACTCCACTCCCCTCACATGGTTCTTAGTTCTAAGACTTACAAGCCCCTTCAAAGTAAAAGTATCCTTTATAACTGTATTTTTGTCCCTTTTTTCAAAAGAAAAACAGCTTTAAAATTAAAAACAGAATGCATCTACAAGATCTCATTATTGTGAGCTCTGTTTCACAAATGTATGATTGAAAAATAAAACCTTACAAACATGGATATCCTGTCTTTTTACTGTGCGTCTAACAATTCATTCTTATCGTCCTTTAGACACTATTCTAAAAAGCTGCATTTCTACTGCAGTATTCAAAACAAATACAAACACCCTGACTTTTTGATGCAGCACACTTCTGTTAAAAACTGTTCATTTAAAGGAAAACATAGTTCTTCCTGTTTAATTAAAAGTTACACTGAGTGGTTTGAAAAGGCAGAGAGGACGTTTACCTGTTAGTCTAAAACCACGTTAACCAAAGTGTGATCTGCAGTTTGCTAAGGATAGTACAGAGACATAAAACCACTATGTTCTCTTAAACTGTTCTCTAAATGTTTCTGCAGAAAGTAACAACCAACAGCTAATACGCCCTTAAGCCGCGATCTCCTCTTAACTTTTTTCTTTTACAGAAATAAAAAAATAAACAGAAAAATCCTCAGTTAGCTGAAGGGTTGGCGGTGTAGCTCAAAAAACATATGGAGGAAGTGTTGCATTGTGGGCTGAGTGTCAGACTCACTATTTAGAAAAAGTAGGCAACAACCTGGGGCCCCCTGCCAGTAAGTGTCCCTGCTAACAGCACGCCTTGGTAATAATACATGGTCAAAATGAAATAATATGATTTACAATCAAAATAATGACAAAAATCGTGTCACAAAACACCATAAGCATCTCCTTCTCCCTTTCTCATTAGGATCACTCCATTCGTTTATGGCATAAAGGGATGTAGTGATCCCTCCCATCATTTAATCCATCCAGAGATGCACTGTGAAAAAGACAGGGAAGGAAAAGGGTTTAGAAAAGTGAGTTTTAAAAGTAAAAAAGTAAAATAATAAAATGTATTTGTGCAAAACCAAAATATTCTTATACTGAATTATTTCGCAATAGCACCAAATCCCATGAAAGATGTAGATGTTTGGTTAAAAGATGCATTAAGTTCATCCATCCATCCATCCATCCATCCATCCATCCATCCATCCATCCATCCATCCATCCATCCATCCATCCATCCATCCATCCATCCATCCATCCATCCATCCATCCATCCATCCATCCATCCATCCATCAGGGTCTCAGTGGGGTTGATGCCTATCTCTAGCAGTCTACGGGTGAAAGTACATTTATATGTTAATCTGTGGTATGACTCACCCCACTGATCACTAGGGAGAGGTGAGAGGGAGAGGTATAGGAATCCATTAAATAATTGTAGATTTAGATTTTAAGTTTAAACTGTTTTTTTTATTATTATTTGCGAAAGAGCCTGTCAGTCGCAGCATATATCAAACTGCAGTTTCAGATCTGATAGAGTCGATCTTTAAAGTTTAATAAAAATAAATAAAATGTCTGAGAAGAATAACCATATACGGTAATCTGGGTTCAGTTCCCATAAGGAACTATCTGTCACCTAAGTACAGATGGCTCATATTTTCATGATGTTTGCTTTGTTTTGTAAATGACAGTCTTTGCTTATAAATCGTTGTAGGAGCTTTTCAGACCCAGTCTTTTGCATACACATATTTTGAACTTTTATATCCCTAACCCTGACCCCTGCCTCCCATTCTACTTTTAAAATTCTGGGAACCATAATTAAACCTGCAGAGACTGAAGACTCTGTTAGCAACATAAGGAACAATCATATCTCTGGTACGAGATGGAGCATGGTTATTTAGGGCTTTATATGTGATAAGGAGGATTTTAAATTCCATTATGGATTTAACAAGAAGCCACTAAAAGGAAGCTAAAATAAGAGAGATCTGATCTCTCTTTTTAATCTTCTGCAGAGCTTTGTCAGCAGGAATAATGGAGCACTACATTTAAAAATTAACACATCAAACAATGAGTTAGAAGCACAGTTAAACTGAGAAATTACACTCACCGGCCACTTTATTAGGTACACCCGTCCAACTGCTCGTTAACACTTAATTTCTAAGCAGCCAATCACATGGCGGCAACTCAGTGCATTTAGGCATGTAGACATGGTCAAGATAATCTCCTGCAGTTCAAACCGAGCATCAGTATGGGGAAGAAAGGTGATTTGAGTGACTTTGAACGTGGCATGATTGTTGGTACCAGAAGGGCTGGTCTGAGTATTTCAGAAACTGCTGATCTACTGGGATTTTCACGCACAACCATCTCTAGGGTTTACAGAGAATGGTCCGAAAAAGAAAAAACATCCAGTGAGCGGCTGTTCTGTGGGCGGAAATGCCTTGTTGATGCCAGAGGTCAGAGGAGAATGGCCAGACTGGTTCGAGCTGATAGAAGGGCAACAGTGACTCAAATAACCATCCGTTACAACCAAGGTGGGCAGAAGAGCATCTCTGGACGCACAGTACATGGAACTTTGAGGCAGATGGGCTACAGCAGCAGAAGACCACACCGGGTGCCACTCCTTTCAGCTAAGAACAGGAAACTGAGGCTACAATTTGCACAAGCTCATCGAAATTGGACAAAAGAAGATTGGAAAAACGTTGCCTGGTCTGATGAGTCTTGATTTCTGCTGCGACATTCGGATGGTAGGGTCAGAATTTGGCGTCTACAACATGAAAGCATGGATCCATCCTGCCTTGTATCAACGGTTCAGGCTGGTGGTGGTGGTGTCATGGTGTGGGGAATATTTTCTTGGCACTCTTTGGGCCCCTTGGCACCAATTGAGCATCGTTGCAACGCTACAGCCTACCTGAGTATTGTTGCTGACCATGTCCATCCCTTTATGACCACAATGTACCCAACTTCTGATGGCTACTTTCAGCAGGATAATGCGCCATGTCATAAAGCTGGAATCATCTCAGACTGGTTTCTTGAACATGACAATGAGTTCACTGTACTCAAATGGCCTCCACAGTCACCAGATCTCAATCCAATAGAGCATCTTTGGGATGTGGTGGAACGAGAGATTCGCATCATGGATGTGCAGCCGACAAATCTGCAGCAACTGTGTGATGCCATCATGTCAATATGGACCAAACTCCCTGAGGAATGCTTCCAGCAGCTTGTTGAATCTATGCCACGAAGAATTGAGGCAGTTCTGAAGGCAAAAGGGGGTCCAACCCGTTACTAGCATGGGGTACCTAATAAAGTGTCCGGTGAGTGTAGCTGATTAAGGCAATGAGGCCATCTAGTGGAGGGCTAGTGAACAGTAGATTAATTAAGAGAGACCATTCATCAATCTTATTATTTTATTTACCAAGAAAGTATCTATTTTCACATTCAGTTTTTACTATTCAAGTCTGACTGCAAATTAAGCTGTACTGTCTAAGATATCCCATCCTCCACTTTTCTCGGTCATAAAGAAAATAATGCAATAATGCTACGTTTTCTCAATATTGGTTTGTTAAATAAAATATCCTGAAAGTCAAAGACTGCGTTTTTTACTTCAATTGATTTTTGTGGATGCTACTTTAACACCTTTTTTTTTTACTTGATTTAAACAAAAGAGATTATTATCGAATAACTGGTCAAAGATTATTGAAGTACAATCATTGGGGGAATAAACTATGAAGCTGTATATGAGAAGGAGCAGAGCAAACTGTTCCTCCTAAGGAAGTTTAAGTTTTTCAGTTTGCAGCAAGTCTGTTGTTGAGACTGTGATCTATTCTGCCATCATCTGCTGGGGTAACAGATTTTAAACTAGCATTTTTATAAAGTTCCTAAACAGTAACCCTTGCTTCCTCTAAACAGCAATTCTCTTTTCCACAGAAAACCAACCCAAGTGATAACGGAGAGCAGCTGTGCATAGCCTGGAACAAATAGCCACATACCAACTATTATAATACACAATGAATATCCAATAAATAGTTTTAAATCTGTGTATGCAAATTATTTTCATGTGCAAATTAAAGTGCAATGCTAAATAAAGTGTCATTACAGTAAACAAGCTGCGTTTATTTAATAAAGTGTAAATGTACCTTTAATGTGCTACAAGTTATTTACATAAATAGTCCCAGTCATGAAGAGCTCTTCATTACACTCATGCTCATTCTGGAGGAATGATATAAAATGTTTAACCAATCTGACTGAATTGTCTCTGTAAAGTGCCTCGAGATGGCTGTTAAGAGACGCTATATAAATATACTGTTTAATTAAAATTAATTGAATTTTTAGAAAGCTATAACAAAACGACATACAATGATAATATGGTACATTGTTATTATATGGTATGTCACTGCTGTTAAATGACTTTATGAATACTACAGGTGCTGGTCATAAAATTAGAATATCATGAAAAAGTAGATTGATTTCAGTAATTCCATTTAAAAAGTGAAACTTGTATATTATATTCATACATTACATACAAACTCATATATTTCAGATGTTTATTTTGTTTAATTTTGATGATTACAAATGACAACAAATGAAAATCTCAAATTCATCATATCAGAAAATTAGAATATTGTGAAAAGGTTCAAAATTGATGGCCCCTGGTGCCACACTCTAATCAGCTAATTAACTCAAACCACCTGCAAAAGCCTTTAAATGGTCTTTCAGTCTAGTTCTATAGGCTACACAATCATGGGGAAGACTGCTGACTTGACAGTTGTCCAAAAGACGACCATCGACACCTTGCACAAGGAGGGCAAGACACAAAAGGTCATCGCTAAAGAGGCTGGCTGTTCACAGAGCTCAGTGTCCAAGCACATTAATAGAGAGGCGAAGGGAAGGAAAAGATGTGGTCGAAAAAAGTGTACAAGCAAGAGAGATAACCGCACCCTGGAGAGGATTGTGAAACAAAACCCATTCAAAAATGTGGGGGAGATTCACAAAGAGTGGACTGCAGCTGGAGTGAGTGCTTCAAGAACCACCACACACAGACGTATGAAAGACATGGGTTTCTGCTGTCGCATTCTTTGTGTCAAGCCACTCTTGAACCACAGACAGCGTCAGAAGCGTCTTGCCTGGGCTAAAGAGAAACAGGACTGGACTGCTGGTGAGTGGTCCAAAGTCATGTTCTCTGATGAAAGTAAATTTTGCATTTCCTTTGGAAATCAAGGTCCCAGAGTCTGGAGGAAAAGAAGAGAGGCACTTCATCCACGTTGCTTGAAGTCCAGTGTAAAGTTTCCACAGTCAGTGATGGTTTGGGGTG